CACTAGCCTGTGAACGTGCATCAATTAGATATCTAGTTGCTACTAGGGATGCTTTCTCGTTCTTTATCTGGCTGTTGTTCACTTGCCCCTTGCTAACCATTTTTTAATCCAGATGAAATTATAAATCTGCTTCTATAACCCAGTATTGACAATCGGTCACTGCGTTGGCTGTGGCGTTTTACTAATTCTGTTCACTATTGTTAACACACGTTTGAGGATATGAGAACTTGCGGACGTACAATTACGCACACATCCATCTTTCTCGGGAGAGATTGTTCCATGCATTCACGGCACGCCTTTAGAGTCGATAGATGTGCAGAGGGCCATCTGTTAGCCGTACCAGCAGCCTGAAGCAATGTCCGCGCGAAGGCATATCAACGGCCAGTTTGACGTACTGTGCGATCTCCGGGATGTCACCGCAAACGATCACTTTGTAAATCATGATTTGTTTGCCTCTGGAGCGTCGAAATTCGAAGGTAAACAGGTCCAGTGTCTTAAGGCGCTTCGGATATGTCAGCCTACCCACTTCGGGCACCATTATTGACCCCAGCCGTTGTACATATACGATATCGGTCATCCCGCCCTTCGTATACTGGAACCAAGCGGACGATCCATACCCCATGATCGGGCGGATGAACGTGACGATAAGCTTACGGAATAAGTGCATGTACCAGGACATGAATACTCTTTTGGAACATCCAAGGTAGTGCCAGGCCTTTGCGTTTCACCAAAGTTGATTGTCCTCGGGTTTTGAGGTCCTCTTGAATGATAACACCCAGTTCACGTGTATTCCTAACACCGGCCAATGTCATGTTGCCCATTGAATAAGGTGGGTGGTCCCGGTTTCTCTCAATTATCAGCAAGTCTGGGTTGCTCACGTTGACCGGTATCTTGATCTCTAATGACCATGCGTGGATCACAGTAAGATCATTTTGAAAAGTCATTGTGTCTTCGGGGCTGTGTATAACACGTCATACCTTTAGGTCATCGGCAACCGGAAGGCATAGAGACAGAAGTCTAGATGGGATTTCCGCAACGTATACAGGAGATAGTCTGGGACCCAGCACTGACCTTTGAGGTACGGTACTGCGAGCCTCATACGCAGAGGAACACCCTTCGCCGACCCTGACCCGGCATTGTCTACCGAATAGGTACCACGTACAATTTTTGTGCACCTGATAACGTCGACCAACCTTATTTGGCAAACTGTCCAGTTAATACGAGGATCAGGAGTCTAAACGCTTATCAAAAGAAATAGTTTTTCTTTTGTAGTCACAATTCGGTGATACTTGTTATTATCTTTTCCACTGCTACACTGTTGCTTATTCTTCTTTATTTCGGTCTATTCTACACTAGAAATGCTCATTAAGGTTTATTTCTTCTTTAGAATTTAATATTGTGTGATGATGTACAACGGCATGGGGGTGGACAACTTTGCTGAAAAATTGGCCAATTTATCAAAAAGCGAGTTAGGAGCTTTGCTTGACGACGACGCGCAAATAAAAAAGATGGTGAAGGAGAGCTCAATGGTATGCTTTGATTTAGCATGCGTCACCTTCTATTAGGTGGAGGACTTAGAGGGCAAAAGAAAGCGCCTTCTTAAGAGTAACAACGAAAAGGCTACAGAAAATCTTAGCCTTGAGCCGGAGCTCACGAAAATGAAGGCCGACCTGATTGAAGCGCACACGGCGTTTGCCCACCAATTGGAGTCTTACAAGAAGTATAAGGGAAAGTTAGGTAAGCGAAGCATAATTCCAGTTGATTTACCAATTATTTAGATAAGCTAAACTCAGCCTATTCGGCTAATGCTATGCTAGAGTTGATGCAGGCCGCTAATGCGGAAGAAGACGAAAAGGCCGAAACGTTACAGTCCAAATTTTTGCGAAAGGAAATCAGTATCGATGAATTCCTTGATCAGATGTTACCTTCGCGAAAGCTTTTCAATACTCGGCGAGTGAAGATTGACAAGTTGACCGAAATTCTTTTAAATCCTGGACGTCCGGCTCCCCCGCGGCCGGTCTAGTATTCCATCGCGAGCGCATCACTTTTCTCTCCCCGAACGAAGTGGCCCTCGGCGCATGCACGCTTTGCTGGGCGTTAACGCAGAGCTGTGTTGGGTCAACAATTGACTTACTTATTAACCTCCTGTGGATTTTCTTTGGTTTTTATTCTCCAGGCGTGAAGGCTTTCATATTTTATATAATGAACTCCTAAACTCTCCCTTTTCTCATTATGTGCTGGTTATTGTGCTCACGTGGCACTTTCCATAATCATTAGTGGTGATATGATACATCCACAAAATCCACTAGGTTGGCTTCTTAAGAGGCATTTTTGTTCTGGGAGTTTGCTGTTCTATGTGAGCCTTCACATTCCACAATACGTCTTAAGTTTTTTTTAAGTTGGTACTGCTTTCTTATCACATTGTCCCTTGTCAGGTAAAAGATGAGTGCGACTGTGTAGCTCATCTTTGTTGCCTGTGGTCCTGGCTTCGCGTTCACTAAATGAAAGATCGCCCAATTGTGATTA